GTATGTATGGATCACTTGGGTTGTTACCAACATCTGGTGAAAATTTCATGTCATTAGCACCTCTAGTGATATATTTACTGAGAAAAATGGTGACGTGTTCAATACTTATTTTACCCGCTGTAACTGTAGGAAATCACTGAGAAAGAAAGAAAAGACAGAAGTCTGGAGAAGTTTTTCTCTTTCCAAAGTTTGGAAGTGTTGCTAATAAATCAGTTTTATCGATTTTTAATGTCTCTGTCTATTTTCCACACACATACAGTACAGTTCAGCACAAGCAAGTAACATGACACATTTGGTTTCCTTAAACGGACCAGAGTTTGTTTCCCCCGTTGGTCCGGACCTTTTATCCAGGTGTGAATATGTTAACTTCAGTCGTTACAAAAAAGCCGTATTTGTCAAAAAGAAAATTGACTTTGCCTCATAGTTCATCTAAACACCTCAAAATTGGCCTCTTTCTCTTTAAGAGCCTCCTACCATTTCAGACACTCCCACTTCAGTTCATTTTCTAACAATGGCTGTGTCTCAGTTCACAGGCTCCCTCTCATGCAGCCCACAAATCCCCCAAAATAAAGGCTGCAACCAAAGTTATAATAGTTTTATTTCGTTGTGACGTTTTAATTAGTTTTTACTGTGGATTTGCTAGTTTTTTTTTTAGTTATTATTGCATTTTAATGCTTAGTTTTAGTTTAGTCTTTTTTAGTTCTAGTATTATATTTTTATAGTTTGAAAAAACATATTTGCCAATGCATCCTCCAGCTTGTGACGTTCCTGTGAGTTAACTAACCGGTAGCTTTTAGGTCACTAGTTAAAGCGTCCATTAAAGTGACACCTTCCTAAAATAATTGCGTAACTCAATTATGCCAAAACAAAAAGTACTTGGGTGATCATTTTAGAACGATGACAATAGTTGTCTCCAACCTGCTGCTACCTGTTGCTTGTTTTTCATGGAGCTACTGAGAGAAGCTAGCTCATAGTTAGCATCTTGTGTGAGTTTGATTCATGACGATTTTCCCTTGAGTATTCCACCTGTTTTATCACCTGTTTCCACTACAAGACACTTGCTTTTATTTTTCTGACAGTCATATTTAAAAAAAATCCCAAATTGGACGTTGTGCTTTCTCCCAACTTTTGTTGTCATCATTTGTTAGACGATGTTGAGCAGCAGCAGATTGTAAATAAGTGTTGTTACAAACCATGAGGTGCTGTAAGCTGCCCACAGCTAACGTGAAGCTACT